ATATATGGTCATATGGTCTGGAGCAAGTGTTGGAGGAGGTGCCCACTGACTTTCGCTTAGGAGTTTTTTGAGTTTCTGGTTTTTTGAGCTTTCGGGGTTTAAATTTTGAGGAAATTTCAACGAACCCCTACTAGCAAGGTTGTCAATAGGAAGACGTTGTTCGATTTGTTTGGAGAGTTAAGTCTGAGTGTTTTGAGAGACTGAACCTTCGTTTGACAGGGTGAATCCTCATCCTTTTCAGGAGCCAGTCAGCCCCTCAAATAATTACTCTCAATCCCAAAACTAAAACTCTCCATTCAGAACCCTCAAACTTTCAATCCCAAAAAATTCCAGAACCAGAAACTCTCAAAACTCTTGAAACCCTCAAACTTTCAACGCAGACATTTCAAGAAACCCGAAGCAGCTGCACCACCTCCTGCTGCGCCAAAGGCGCCACCAGGCCTGTTCGAGACTTGCGCATAAGCTAGGTTTGAGAGACTTAATTGCGGGTTTTGAGAGAGTTGCGCGTGAGAGTTTGAGAGAGATTCTGAGCGCGTTGGAAATGTAGTATACTAGCTTTTCTTGACAGTTTGGAGAGATCTATGCACGGCTCAGCTAGGCCATCGCAAGCAGTGTGGCAATATGCCACGATGTCCTGTCGAAAGTGAGGAAGCTCACGAACCCACTGGCAATGTTGTTGTTGGTGGCGTTGGTGGTGGTGGTCGTGTATACACTCGCAAGATTAGTTTATTATTCCAAACAAGCTTTATTATTGGAAATATATTTTATTTTATTTTTTTGAAAATAAAATTTTATTATCAAGAAATAAAACTTTTATTTCCAAAATAATAAATTTTTATTATCAGAAAAATAAAATTTGTCATTTTTTAAAATTTATTTGTTTTCATAAAATTTATGATTTTCACACATTTTATCTTAAAGGATTCTTATGGTTGGATGCTGCTTCAGGAGGCCCCTCTTCTCCATCCTCGAGAGTGTGTTCGAGGAGATCAGTGAGAGAGCCCGGTTGAGTGACAGGGAGGTGCCCCGACAGGAGAGTTGGGATGAAGTGGCCATGATGGTGCTTCTGCCACCGCTCATGTACACGTATTTGAAGGCCCGAATAGACCCAGAAGTGTCAGTCACAGATGCATCACCAACAGGTGGTGGGGCCGCCACGGCTGTTGAGTTCCAAGCTGAGCCGTGCACTATCGAGAGGGACCCAGCGGTTTGTGCTCAATGCGGCAAAGACATTCCGGGACATGACCGTTACCCGTGTCCAGCGGTGTGTGGGGCCACGCTGTGCTCACTCTCGTGTGTGTTGACGCACCGGGAAGGCGAGGTCTGTCCCCGGAGTACTTGGAGAATCCCCAAGTTCGGAGAGAGGTTCGCTGGCAGGCGAGCACCGTTGAGTCACGCAGTGGCCATGGTGGGCAAGGTTGAAGTCCAACCACCTTACGACTGGTTTTTTGGTGACAACTTCTTCACACCTGAAGGGAAGCAGTCGTTGGCCGATCTCATGGATGACCCTTGCTTAGCTGTGGAGCATTGGGCGCCTGAGTGCAAGCTCTTCAGCAGAGCCCGAGGACGGCCTATTACATTAAGGGATGGCCGCCGAGTACAGGGGCCACAGCCGGTCCGAGACGCTCATCACGTCATGGGCTATCCGTGGTTAAAGGCGGATATGAAAGCAAGAGTCCGCCGTTCTAACCAAATGGTGCTCAAGGCGTTGAAGAGGGGGCATGAAGATCGGCGGGGTAGCAAGGTCTACTGGTCCTGCGAGCATCCTCGGCGCTCTTGGATGTGGGAATTCCGCCTGGTGAAGGAGATGGAGGCCTGGCCCGAGATGAAGTACTCAATCGCCTCGCATTGTTGCTTTGGAGGGGAGAGGGTAAAGTGGTTCGCAATCCTCAGTGACCTCCCCTCCTTGCAGCGGCACCTGTCCATGGACTGTCCCGGGCACCCGGGCTTGCGTTCTTATGAAGTTGAGGAGCTTCCAGATGGGACTTTGCGGTTTGACACCGAGGAAGAAGCAGAGTATCCATGGGAGATGTGTGTGGCCTACGCTCGAGCCGTGAGGGAGCAGATCGAAGCAGATGGTCAGTTTGAAGCGGCTGTAGCGGAGGCACGTGAAGCCCACTTTCTGGAGGAGATGGCCCTTGCAACTAACCGTCTGGCTGATGCCGACGTGGCGGGCCCCATGGCTGAGAGTTTGGCTTTGAAGGAGATCTACATGGTCAAAGTGCGAGAGAAAGAGCATTTGTCCTCTCTCTTGAGGCATGCCACGTATCGTGGCTCCGATGTGAGGTCGTTCTTGGAAGTGGACGGTCAGATGCATGAGCAACCTTATTTGACCACCAGGTGGCAATGGAGGACAGTTATGTCCTATGCATGGCGCCAGGAAGCCCATATCAATGAATTGGAGCTTCTGGCAGTCGCTGTTTTCTTGAAGAGGAGGGCCAGGACCCGGGCCAAGCAACACCTTCGGTTCTTTCATGTGCTGGATTCGATGGTGTCCCGTGGGGTGCTGGCAAAAGGAAGAAGCAGTTCTCGAAGGCTCAATAAAGTGGCTCGTCGGTGCAGTGCCTACATGTTGGCGATGGACAACTACATGTTTCCGCTTTGGACCATCAGTCGGTGGAACTTTGCGGACAAGGCCAGTCGAGCCCATGAAACGTAGCAAACGAAGCCTGCAGTACGCAGGCCTGCACCCGCGGACTCTTCGAGCCTACCGAACTGCTTTGGATCGATTCCTCAAACACGTTCAACGCAAGCGGCTTAGCATTTCCAAGCCCTGGAAGTTGGACCAGCAGGTTGCTGAATTCATTGATCTTTCTTACCAAGAGGGAGAGCCAATGAGCTACTCGGGTCACCTCTTGTCGGCACTGAAGCGGTTTCACCCAGCCTTGCGTCTGGAGTTGCCGATTGCAAGTCAGTACTTTCGAAACTGGCAGCGCTGCTATGTTCCTTCACGGGCGCTGCCGGCTCATTGGGAGCTAGTGGAGGCCATGATGGGCTTGGCTCATGCGCAAGGGTTTCATGAATTTGCGCTGCTGCTCGCCCTTGGCTTCAACGCCATGCTGAGGACGAGTGAGATGCTCTCGCTGACTCACCAGCACTTGGTCCCCCATCGTCATGGCAAGGGCATGAGCCTCATCATCCCGGGCAGCAAGACGTCGCAAGGCAATCCACAAGTCCTGTTGGTGCTGGATGCTGAGTTGATTGGTTATGCCACTTCACTGCGTCGTCCGGGCGAGAGGTCTTTGTTGTGGCCTGGCGGGGCGCATCGGTTTCGCCAACTGTTCGCCGCTACTTCGGCGCCTGGGCTTTGCTGAAGATGACTACACCCCGTACAGTTTGCGCAGAGGAGGGGCTACATGGTTCTTTCAGTCCTCCTTGAGTCTGGATGCCACTGTGGCCCGTGGTCGTTGGTCTTGCAACAAGACCGCAAAGCAGTACATCGATGAGGGCATTTTTCAGCTGGCCCAAGTCTCCTTTACCCCTGTGCAGCGTTCCAGGATTCGGACATGGCGTTTGAATTTTCTGCGGCTGCGCCAGGGAGGCAGGAAGCGGAAAGCGTGAGTCCTTTCTTTTTTCCTGCTAGAGGTGGAGTGGTGAGGCCTTTGAGAGGCACGAGCAGGTCATGCAAGATGGCT